GCAGTCTTTTCTGGCTTTAGTCGGAGGGTTTGCCTCTTTGACTGTTCAGTTAGAACCTGGTCTTGTGTAACCCAGGCTGGCCTTGAGCTCGCTGTTTTCCGCTCAGCAGCTCACCAGTGTCATTAATACGTTGCATTTTTATTTATTTATTTATTTTATTTGCGTGTGTGGACCCGCTTGTGGCGGTCAGAGGAGCACCTGTGGGAGTTCTTTCCTTTCACGTGGGGCCGCGGGAGCGAACTCCGGTCTTGCCAGCCCAGTCATATTATTAATTTACGTGTTTATGTGCATGGATCTGATTTTAGAGGCATCTCCCGGAGCTGGAGTTACAAGCAGTTGTGAGCTGCCTGGTGCGGGTTCTGGGAATTGAATTCAGGTCCTCTGCGAGAACAATGCATATTCTTAACCACTGTGCCATCTGGCCTTGTAAGAGCTCCTGTAGGTGTCAGGGCCTACCTCAGGAAACTGTGTGAGGCTAAGTAGGGGTGGTGATTGATACATTTACAGAACAATGTCCTGTGCAGCCAGCTGAAGTGGTTGGTAGGGGAAAAAGGAAGGCATTCATTCATTCACTTACTGCTTTATTGAAACACGGTCTCTACTACTTAGTCCTGGGCTGTCCTGGAACTTGCTCTGTAGATCAGGCTGGCTTTGAATGCACAGAGATCCTCTTGCCTCTGCCTGCAGAGTGCTGGGATCAAAGGTGTGTGCCAGCATACCTGATAACAGCATTTGATGTTTTAACTGGAGAGAGCGGGTGACTTGTTAATGAATCCAGATAGTCAAGGGGCCTTGGAGTGCTTGAGACTCACAGTTGAGCCCAGCCTACGAATGAACAGAGAGACCCTTTTCTGGAAATCGTTGGGGAGTTTGCTTTCTTTACAGGGAGAGGGAGGGAGGCTAGGACCTCTTCTTGCCTTTGTAGTATGCTGGACTAGATTTCTTTAGTGGTGCTGGGGGAACCAACACCCGGAATGCAGTAGACCTAAGTCCTCTAATGCTGTAAAGATTAATATGATTGGCAGCTCCTAGCAGGAGTTGTAGTGAACCTCCCATGCTGCTTTCCCCAACCCCCCTCCCTCTTCTCTCTCTTTCAAGCAATAATGGGGATGAGACACAGTGCTGTGCCACTGAACTTTGTCCTGCCCAGTATATCAGTTCATTGGAAAAAAAATCTACTTGCCTCTGCCTCTTGAGTGCTGAGTTTAAAGGCATACGCCAACACCTCCTGGCTTTTTATGTATGTTTCACAAGGAGAGGAGTCACTTTTTTAAAATGGTGCTTCGTGTAGTCCAGGTTATCCCAAACTCTCTACGTATCTAAGAACAACCTGGCTCTCCTGTCTTGTCTTCCCAAGTGCTGGGATTGCAGGCATGAGCCACCACACTCAGACATCTAGCTTATGCATTGACAGGGATCAGATTGACTCCTGGGCTTTGTACATGTTTGGCAAGCACTCTACCAACCAAGCCTCAGCCCCAGTCTTTATAACAGGAAACAACCCCCTCACCCCCATGTTTTTGTTCGGCTTGAGGTTTTCAGGAAAAAAGAAATCTAAAAGAACTAGAACCTTGGTGGCTCACGCCTTTAATCCCAGCACTCGGGAGGCAGAGGCAGGCGGATTTCTGTGAGTTTGAGGCCAGCCTGGTCTACAGAGTGAGTGCCAGGACAGGCTCCAAAACAACACAGAGAAACCCTGTCTCGAAAGGAAATTTAAAAAAAAAAGAAAGAAAGAAACTGGAGTATTGGCTTCCGGGTAGTCCAATCAATCAGCTCTGATAGGATAGTTTTTATGTTTCTGTTTTAGACTTCAGAAGAAGGTGGAAGCTTTCTTTCCTAAGACAGTTCTGAGCCAAGGAGAGGATAACCGATACCTGGTGCTAGCTGTCGAGACTGTACAGAATGAAAGAGGAGATGAAGAAAAACACCTGGTCATCACTGCATCTCTGGAGCAAGACCACAAAGAGCTGTGTATCCTGAGGAATGGCTGGTGACTGGCACTTGACTTTTAGCAGTGGTTGGGTGGTCTGCTTTCTGAAACAGGGTCTCACATAGTCTAGAATGTAGTTGAGCCGATTACATCTTGCCTCTCCCTACTCATCTCCACATGCTGGGATCCCTGGGAGCTCCAGTCCAGCCAACACTAGGGTATCACATGACAGCCTGTCAAATGTCTTGTGTGGATTAATTGTTTAAAAGGAGGTGGAGGGTAGTTCAAGAGTAACAGTGCCTGCCACCAAAACTGACAGCCAGAGTTTGATGCCTGGGACCCACATAGTGGAAGAAGAGGACTGACAGATTCTCCCCCTCCAACACGTACACACAAAATAAATATGTTAAAAAGGGCAAAGAATAATTCTTAAGGGAGTGGAAAAGGTGTGAGAGATAGATCAATGGCTAAGGGCATTTGATGATCTTGCAGAGGCCCTGGGTTTGGTTCCCAGTGCAGCTCACAACTGCCTGTAACTGCAGGGATAGGAGACTTTCCTCTGGTCACCACTGCCCATGTGGGCACATGCATATAAGCCTAAATAAAATGATAATAAAAATTTTAAGAAATGAGGGTATTTTTTGTTGTTGTTATTTTGTTGTTGTTGTTGGCTTATTGAAAGTGTGGCCTTCGATCCAGCATCTTAGTTCCTTTGTGCTCCAAACTGACAATTTGATTTGATTTTTTAAATTTTTTATTTTGAAATTAAAAAAAAACTTTATTGTGTGACTGTCTGCATGTATGTATGTTCATACACCATTTGTGTGCCTGTGCCTTTGGAGGCCAGAAGAGGGCTTTAGATCCCCTGGACTTGGAGTTATAGACAGTTGGGAGCCGTAATGTGGACACTGGGAACTGAACTAGGGTCCTCTGCAAGGGCAGGTATTACTCTTACTTAAACATAGAGCTGTCTCTTTAGTCCCTCCCCATTACTTAAATGAAATTTAAGACCCAGAGGTTTAGAAATATTTATTCTTGAGATAAAATACTCGGTGCTTCTGGGAGTGTTTAACTGTGGGAACCTGGATTATAAATTTCTGCTTCGACCTTGCCTTTTTTCAGGTGTTCGGTACCAGTAGAGCCCGGGGACATCATTCATTTAGAGGGAAACTGCGCATCTGACATGTGGATAATAGATGACGACTTTGGATATTTTATTCTGTACCCAGACATTCTGATCTCTGGCACAAGTGTCGCCAGTAGTATTCGGTGTATGAGAAGAGCTGTCCTGAGCGAGACTTTCAGGGTAAATGACTTCAGTCCTGAGTGCTTTCCTCTGCTGTGCTGAGGGTGGGAGCCAAGGCCTTGCTCTGCCCCTGGGCTATGCTTCAGCTCCTAAGGAGT